ATCTCCGATATAAATGAACTTCAAGCTACATTAAATAGTAAAGCGGACAAAAATGAACTTGACGCAATGAACAAAGTTTTGAAATCTCATAAACACAATATCTCCGATATAAATGAACTTCAAGCTACATTAAATAGTAAAGCGGACAAGAACCACGTTCATTATATAACTTCAGACGAACAGATTATAACGGACTACCATGGATATTTAACACGAAGTGATGAAGCGAAGACAAAAAATGTTAATGAAAGAAGATATAAATACATTCGTGCTAAAGGTTATGACATAAGCTGTACTGTACAGTATAATGTAGCTAAAGCGCCAGAAGCATTTGGTTATACCGGTGAAATTTATGCCTCTACTTTCAATGTTAACGGTGTATTAGTTGAACCAAGATTTACATTGAGAGTTAAGTCAAAAATAACGTTTGAAGATGCTATTAAAAGTAAAGCTGACAAAGTTGAACTTGAAGCAATGAACAAAGTTTTGAAATCTCATAAACACAACATCTCCGATATAAATGAACTTCAAGCTACATTAGACAGTAAAGCCGACAAGAACCATACACATAAATCCTTCACTACTGTTAGAGCAGACGACATAATATTGAACTTTGACCTTGGTTCAAGTGCACCTTTAGAGAATCCAAGTACAAGCGTAAAAGATACTCTTAACAATTTAGATAAGAGTTGCAGGAATATCGAAGATCATGCCAGAAACTTTGAAGCATATGAACTACCAGCAATGTTAGATAAGAAAGCAGACAAAACAGAGCTTCAAACATTAAAGACAGAAATACTTCAAACATTATATCCTATAGGTTCTATTTATACGTCAATGAACTCAACAAATCCAGCAACAGTTTTAGGTTTTGGTATGTGGGAGCAGATTGTAGATAAATTCCTCTATTGTGCGAACTCTTCAAAGCAAACAGGTGGTTCGAAGAAAATTACTGAAGCAAACCTTCCACCGCACACTCATACAGGAACTACAAACACAACAGGTAGTCATTCACATTCAATAACAAAAAGAGGTTATACAAATCTTGCAGCAGGTTCGGATAGACAGGGAATGCATAGATATGATATTTCAAGTGACCCAGTAGATTCAAGCGCAGGTATTTTCTGTGGAACCGCAGGAAATCATTCACACACTTTCACAACAAATCCAACAGGCTCGGGTAAAGATTACATGCCACCATTTGTGACTATATTCGCATGGTACCGCGTTCAATGAACTCGCTTGAGCCTAGAATAAAATCTTTATTTTACATAAATGAGCTTGAAAGAAGTATTCGAACAACATCCATGGAGGTCATTTAAGAAGTTCAATGAAGCTGCAAAGAGTTGGGGATTTACTAACAGAGCTGAAGTGAAAAGGTTCTTTGACAAAAATGTTGTACATCAAACAAAAATAAACCCTTACGACTACTTTTTACCAATTTACTCCAACACTCCTGACGCATACCAATTTGACACTCTCATTCAAAGCAGAAAAGGAGGACATAAACCATTCCTCATCTTCATAAATGTTAACACTCGTAAAGCATATGCATATTCAATGAAAAATAAAGGAACTCGTGAAGTGTTAAGAGTTTTACAAAAGTTTGTAGCAGAACATAGCCCAAGTACTTTAACATCAGACCAAGACAGTGCATACCTCAGCAACGAAATCACAGAATTTCTCATTAAGCATAACATAACTCACTACACTACTGAAGACCATAACCATAACATACTCGGCATCATAAACCGCTTCATAAGGACTCTCAGAGATTTAAACCAAGAGCGAGACTTTACCGAAGAAACAATGAAACACTTTCTCGAAGTATATAATTCCTCAACACATTCTACAACAGGACATACACCAAATTCAATGACACAACAAGAAGAAGAAAAGTATATACAAAAGAAACGAAGTCAAACACAAAATATCAGAAATTCAACACAATTTACCCTCATTCCTGGTACAAAAGTTCGTGTAGTTCTTGACGACAAACCGTTGACAAAGAAACGTTTAAGGTTAAGTAGAAACTATTATATCGTAGACTCTACGCAATGTAATGGATATCTTATAAAAGCTGCTGACGACTCCATAGCATTTTACCCTCGTCATAAATTAGTCGAAAGTAGTAATGGCAAACTTGCTGAAACCATTGACGAAGCAAAGCGAGGAGTGGTTATTGAAATACTTGGCTACAACATAAACGATGACACTTATAAAGTAAGATATGAAGGAGGCGTTGAAGATGTTATACCATCTAAGAACTTGAGAGAGTCGAAGCCAACACATCTGGGACCATTAGAGCGGGAGTACTGGAAAGACAAAAATAAGCCAGAAAGAATAAGAAAATTCTTCTAAACTTTTTCATTAGATGTAAATCAGACATGAACGAGAACAGTCATGAAATTATTAATGTTTTCATAAATTTACACCAAAAAATATAATTTAGGTGAAGAGGTGAGATCTCACCTGTTTTTTCACCTCTTTTCTCACCTCATGAATTTTCATGATTTCATCGTAAATGTTTTGTCAAGACTTCTTCGTAATGAGTGTAAAGGACCCAAAAATAATGTTTAGGTGAAGTGGTGAGATCTCACCTCTTTTTTCACCTCTTTTTTCACCTCTTGAATTTGTCAAGACTTCTTCGTAAATGTTTTGTCAAGACTTCTTCGTAAATGTTTTGTCAAGACTTCTTCGTAAATGTTTTGTCAAACATGAACGTACATGCTTTGTCAAACATGAACGTACATGCTTTGTTAAGACTTCTTCATCGTAATGAGCGTAAATCAGACAAAAATATAATTTAGGTGAAGAGGTGAGATCTAACACGTTTTTTCACCTCTTGAATTTTCATGAATTTCCTTAAGATAGAAAAAATAAAGTTAGTTTTATTTTATTTATTCTTCATTTTTTTGTATGTAAGATATGATTTCAGGGATTTTTTTGACGAAGTGCAAACCTTCACTTCGTCAAAAATAACAGTTATATAATGAAAAAGTGAAAGTTATTCTTCATTTTTTTGTATGTAAGATATGATTTCAGGGATTTTTTTGACGAAGTGCAAACCTTCACTTCGTCAAAAATAACAGTTATATAATGAAAAAGTGAAAGTTATTCTTCATTTTTTGTATGTAAGATATGATTTCAGGGATTTTTTTGACGAAGTGCAAACCTTCACTTCGTCAAAAATAACAGTTATATAATGAAAAAGTGAAAGTTATTCTTCATTTTTTGTATTTGACGAGAATGTCGGGTAGATGGTTAGATCTAACACGTTTTTTCACCTGTTTTCTCACCCTCTCGAAAATCATGAATTTCCTTAAGATAGAAAAAATAAAGTTAGTTTTATTTTATTTATTTTTTTTATTTTGTATAAAAGATATGATTTCAACAATCGGCACAACAACAATTCAAACAACAGCACCAAATTCGTTAGTCATGAACCCAACTTCAATGTTAGTAGAAATGAAAAGCTTCATTCCTTCTTCATATACTTTTGAAACAGAAATCCAGAAGATAAAGCAAGAACTTTTAACAAGTAATTTAGACTGTAGTGCGAAAGATGAAACAAATGAAGAATATCTTTATGAAATGCAGGACATTATTGACCATTTGCCTAAACTACCTGAAATCCAACAACAAAAACTCACTATTCCTGAATTCGACGAAATTGAAGTGAAACCAACTGACTCAGTAGAAATTAAGAAATTCATACGTAAAGTAAATTATGAATTCCTTGGTTTTCATTGCAACCACAAAGTCATGGACAAAGACTGCGATATGGTATATAAGAATGTTTCTGACATATATAAATCTGAAGAATTTAAGACCTACGACAACTTTGTTTCGTTAGTTGCTGAATGTGTTTGGGAAATAAGAGATAAAGATAGAAGAGGTAAGGTATGGAACAAACAAATAAGACCCGCTATGTTTGAGATGAAGAGAGCAATTGACGCTTTAGTTGTTTTAGCTGGTTTTATTTCAATGTATAACGCAAAAATGAACCCACAATGTTCTAAATGTAAAGCAGCAATAAGGAAATATAACTATTCAGTAAAAGAGATAGAACGTATGCGAAACGACTATGCTGACTTAAAGAAAGAAGCAGAGAAACCAGCAGAAGATAAAATGGACATGTTAGAATTTCTGAACAAAAACTATCCAACTGCTGACGATTTCCTTCTATCTGACGTCAAGAAGAAGTATAAAGAAACTTTCGGCATTGTTAAAACTTATGATATCCTCAGCGAAGAAATAGAAGCTACAAAACTGTTTAGGATTTCAAATATACATCGTACAATTCATGTAAAACGCTTGTGAAAAAAGAGGTGAAAAATTAGGTGAGAAAACAGGTGAGATCTCACCTCTTCACCTAAATTATATTTTTTGGTGTAAATTTATGAAAACATTAATAATTTCATGACTGTTCTCGTTCATGTCTGATTTACATCTAATGAAAAAGTTTAGAAGAATTTTCTTATTCTTTCTGGCTTATTTTTGTCTTTCCAGTACTCCCGCTCTAATGGTCCCAGATGTGTTGGCTTCGACTCTCTCAAGTTCTTAGATGGTATAACATCTTCAACGCCTCCTTCATATCTTACTTTATAAGTGTCATCGTTTATGTTGTAGCCAAGTATTTCAATAACCACTCCTCGCTTTGCTTCGTCAATGGTTTCAGCAAGTTTGCCATTACTACTTTCGACTAATTTATGACGAGGGTAAAATGCTATGGAGTCGTCAGCAGCTTTTATAAGATATCCATTACATTGCGTAGAGTCTACGATATAATAGTTTCTACTTAACCTTAAACGTTTCTTTGTCAACGGTTTGTCGTCAAGAACTACACGAACTTTTGTACCAGGAATGAGGGTAAATTGTGTTGAATTTCTGATATTTTGTGTTTGACTTCGTTTCTTTTGTATATACTTTTCTTCTTCTTGTTGTGTCATTGAATTTGGTGTATGTCCTGTTGTAGAATGTGTTGAGGAATTATATACTTCGAGAAAGTGTTTCATTGTTTCTTCGGTAAAGTCTCGCTCTTGGTTTAAATCTCTGAGAGTCCTTATGAAGCGGTTTATGATGCCGAGTATGTTATGGTTATGGTCTTCAGTAGTGTAGTGAGTTATGTTATGCTTAATGAGAAATTCTGTGATTTCGTTGCTGAGGTATGCACTGTCTTGGTCTGATGTTAAAGTACTTGGGCTATGTTCTGCTACAAACTTTTGTAAAACTCTTAACACTTCACGAGTTCCTTTATTTTTCATTGAATATGCATATGCTTTACGAGTGTTAACATTTATGAAGATGAGGAATGGTTTATGTCCTCCTTTTCTGCTTTGAATGAGAGTGTCAAATTGGTATGCGTCAGGAGTGTTGGAGTAAATTGGTAAAAAGTAGTCGTAAGGGTTTATTTTTGTTTGATGTACAACATTTTTGTCAAAGAACCTTTTCACTTCAGCTCTGTTAGTAAATCCCCAACTCTTTGCAGCTTCATTGAACTTCTTAAATGACCTCCATGGATGTTGTTCGAATACTTCTTTCAAGCTCATTTATGTAAAAATAAAGATTTTATTCTAGGCTCAAGCGAGTTCATTGAACGCGGTACCATGCGAATATAGTCACAAATGGTGGCATGTAATCTTTACCCGAGCCTGTTGGATTTGTTGTGAAAGTGTGTGAATGATTTCCTGCGGTTCCACAGAAAATACCTGCGCTTGAATCTACTGGGTCACTTGAAATATCATATCTATGCATTCCCTGTCTATCCGAACCTGCTGCAAGATTTGTATAACCTCTTTTTGTTATTGAATGTGAATGACTACCTGTTGTGTTTGTAGTTCCTGTATGAGTGTGCGGTGGAAGGTTTGCTTCAGTAATTTTCTTCGAACCACCTGTTTGCTTTGAAGAGTTCGCACAATAGAGGAATTTATCTACAATCTGCTCCCACATACCAAAACCTAAAACTGTTGCTGGATTTGTTGAGTTCATTGACGTATAAATAGAACCTATAGGATATAATGTTTGAAGTATTTCTGTCTTTAATGTTTGAAGCTCTGTTTTGTCTGCTTTCTTATCTAACATTGCTGGTAGTTCATATGCTTCAAAGTTTCTGGCATGATCTTCGATATTCCTGCAACTCTTATCTAAATTGTTAAGAGTATCTTTTACGCTTGTACTTGGATTCTCTAAAGGTGCACTTGAACCAAGGTCAAAGTTCAATATTATGTCGTCTGCTCTAACAGTAGTGAAGGATTTATGTGTATGGTTCTTGTCGGCTTTACTGTCTAATGTAGCTTGAAGTTCATTTATATCGGAGATGTTGTGTTTATGAGATTTCAAAACTTTGTTCATTGCTTCAAGTTCAACTTTGTCAGCTTTACTTTTAATAGCATCTTCAAACGTTATTTTTGACTTAACTCTCAATGTAAATCTTGGTTCAACTAATACACCGTTAACATTGAAAGTAGAGGCATAAATTTCACCGGTATAACCAAATGCTTCTGGTGCTTTAGCTACATCATACTGTACAGTACAGCTTATGTCATAACCTTTAGCACGAATGTATTTATATCTTCTTTCATTAACATTTTTTGTCTTCGCTTCATCACTTCGTGTTAAATATCCATGGTAGTCCGTTATAATCTGTTCGTCTGAAGTTATATAATGAACGTGGTTCTTGTCCGCTTTACTATTTAATGTAGCTTGAAGTTCATTTATATCGGAGATATTGTGTTTATGAGATTTCAAAACTTTGTTCATTGCGTCAAGTTCATTTTTGTCCGCTTTACTATTTAATGTAGCTTGAAGTTCATTTATATCGGAGATATTGTGTTTATGTTCTTTATCTGCTTTTTCGGCTAATTTCTCTTCTATCTCATTTATTTCAAGTTCATGCCTACCACCACCTCCCGAAGAAGTATTTTTCTTCAGCTCTTGAAGAACGTCCACTTCGCCATCTTTGGTGTCAATAATGAGACTTTGAGTTAAAACCTTTCCTGTCTTAATGGATGTTTGTAAAACTTCTTCTTCACCGTGTTCGGGGTCATGGTCGTCATCATATCTTGTGAAATCAGAGATGTTGTCATACATTAAGCATATCTGTCTCAAAAGTTCTGCTATTTGAAACTGGAACGAAAGATATACAGAACTTTCATCATCTCCTAAAGTCAAGTCTGCTTTCTTAAGTATTTCTTGAATGTATGCAATGAGAACAGAGTACCTTGGAAAATATTCGAACAATATTTCATTAGCTGTTGGTTTTGGTGGTTCTGTTGGAGTTTCTGCATCTCTTGACTTCAATGCTCTTGCTCTCAAAGACCTAAATGTTAGAGCACCGGGTTTTACAAAGGACTTTATAAATGCTTTAATAGTTCCTGGTAAGTTATTGTTAGCATTAAGTAAGTTCCTTATGCTTCCATCATGTACGTCCATAGCACTATGTAAAAAATCTATACTTTTCTTGTAGTCAGCAATAGACTGACTGTGATTTTTTAAAGATTTGTCAATACCTTTAAGCCAATCTTCATGCATGTCTGATACTGAGCCAAGAATATCATTTGCTTCCTTTAGTGTATTTTGTGCTTCTCGTAAAGTATCCAATCCCGTACGTGCATTGTTTGCTATACGTCTTACAGTATCTATTTGACTCCTTGTTTCTTGCATCCAACCAGATAAAGTTTTAATAGTATCCGAACCATTTGAAATGAAGTTCAAAGCATTTTTAACGTCATCTAAAGCTTCTTCACCAAGTACTGCCCATATCTTTCCGATTTGGTATTGAAGAACTCCATATGAAGCAGCTGTTAAACCAGTATTTATAAGGTCCCATATCCATGATTTAGCAGTTTTTCCATCCTTTCCATCCTTTCCATCCAAACCGTTCTCGCCTTGAGGTCCTTGTATTCCTTGTATTCCTTGTATTCCTTGTGGTCCTTGAGGTCCGGTGTCACCCTTCTCTCCTTTCAGTTCATCTTTATGTTCGTTATAATATTCTAATGTCATAAGGTGTACATCATTACTGCTACCAGCAACGCCAAGAATTTGTTTCTCATTCATGACTAAATTCTTTAGGCATTTAATGTTGTCGTCAAATCGAAAGCTCTTTAACAATTCAATGAGAACATTTAATACTTTCACTAATGAGGCATCTACTGTAGAATTTATATATTGCACCGTTCCATCATTTATGATGGAACCTTGCTTGTTGTAATGAATGGGTCATAAGTGTTAAAAGTATCGAAATCAATGACTTTTTTAGTTTTTCCATCGTCAATGACTAAATCATTGCCTTCAATGGTTAAAGTTGAGTTTTCGTTTACTAGTTCATGTGCTCTTCTTGCTTCATTTGTTTCATACGCATATGCAGCAATAGTCATATTTTAATGAGAATAAAATGTTGTTCTATTTGCAAAGTACAGACCCAAACGAATACGGGACAGTAAAGCTACAAACAAACTTAGGTCTACAGAATGAAGCACTTGCTTTCAGAGTTGTTGACTTCAATACTATCGCAACTTTTGTCATAACAGATGAAACAGATTTCATAGAGATTGAAATAGATGACAAAAGAAGTTTTATAACATTTCCTAACAGAGCAGAGTATAGAATAGATAAAATTGCTGGAGTCATAGATACTCCCATAAATGAAGAAACTATTGACAACATAGATGTCGAACTCTCTTCTGAGGGAACATTGAAGTTCAGTAGCAAGAAAGAGTTCAAGATAACACGAATGAGTCATAGAGTTCAACTTCTTTTAGGAGCATACCATATGACATTTCCTTTGAAAAGTGTTGACAAAACGATTGAGATGAAATCTGTTCCATACGTATGTTATGGTAATTGTTTGTACATTGAGTCTAAAATAGCTAATGTCACAGGCATTTCAGGAGTTAATAGTAAAGGTTCAGTAGAATATAAATCCTTCTGTTATGCAGTCAATTCAATGTTCATTCCAAACGTTCCTGTCATAGCAACTCATTTAGGTAAATGGGTTCGCATTAGTCCTCATAATTTGAAAGACATGCAATTCAGACTAGTTGACTTTCAGGGCGAGCCTGTAGAACTGAAGGCACCAGTGCGAATGACTGTTGAAGTTGACTTTTTAGAAAATATTAAATGCAACAGCTTACAAGAGAACTCAGAGCTAAAAATATAAAGTATGAATGTTATGTATTAGGTCATGAACTTTGGTTGTTGCTGTTTGATGAAACAAATGAGTTAGTTATGTCAGTCAAGAGAACAGAAAAATATTGTGTTAGTGAAAACTGCACCAAGTCAATAAGATTAGGTTTGCATTATGAAGATGAGTTCGATACTGTTGAAGAAGTTTTGGATAGATATTACAAATTGCTTTAATTTACTAAAACATATTTCAAGCAAAGTTTATATTCTGTTGAAAGTTTTGTATACTCGTTCGAATATTTATACTTAAACTCAACTCCTGGAGTACCTGGTGTTTCAATGATGCGGATGTTACCTATTTTCATGAATGGTGGAGTTTGACCACAGCATTCGATTTCAGGGTCGAGATAGTCAATGACACATTGTTTCCCTGTTATTCGTGAGATAACATTTTCAAGGTCCTCCTTTGTTAGAATTATTTGGTTCTTGCTTATAAGATTTGTCAAAAGCTTCTTATCGTCTTTGAGTAAAATTGTTTGGTATAACTGAAGAAGGTAATGGTCTACGTTATCTGAAGGATTTGTTTGAACATTTGTGTAAGGGTTGTCGTTGGCTTCTCTTGAAAGAACTTGGTCCAGTGGTGGATACTCTAACTTAACATCTGATGTAGCGTTAGCGTTTGAAGCTGAGTTTAAATTCACGGATTTCAGCTCTGGTTCTTTTTCTTTCAAACACTCCGAACTATAGTTCTTTATGACAATATTGTTTGTCGTTCGTGAGTCAACATTTGATGTTGGTTCAATTGGAACATTAACGGCACCAGCTAAGATGGATTTGCTTCTCATTTCATATAGAATAAAAACCTTTTATATGTATGAAATGAACAATATACTCGACAAGGGTTTGAATGTAAAGCTAACGAATGAAAATATTGTTGAATTCACCGAGACAGGTGTTGTGTATAAAGATGTAGAACTACTGAACAAAAGAGCTAAGGGAAGAAGCAGGAACATGAATAAAGGGTGGAAGCCTATAAAAATTTATGTCAATGATGGCTCAGGAGGTTCAAACATAAAGTATGCAGAAAGTTATAGAGTTTATGCTCTCAAAGGTGAAAAGCCTTCATTTAAGAACAGCTATTCTAACGCATATCCTCAAAAGCTAACGGATGGGGAAGTGGATGATATGAATGACAGCAAAAATATTAACAGAAATGGCGACAGAGATGCATGGAATTTGTTTACCATCAGTCAATTAAAGCATAAGATTTAAAACAATGTTGGTCGTTCCCATGGAATATTTTTGACTTTAATGGTATTAGTCATGATATGAATCTCAAGGTATGAACGAGGAGAGATGAGAGACTTATATGCTTCCCAAATTTCTTCAAAAGGTAATGTTATACCTGACTGTTTCCAAATGAGTTCAATATCATAACGTGAGAAACCTTGAAAGATAACGAAGTCAGTTATGAGACGTTTTATGTTTAAAGCAAGGAAACGCCATGTTTGCATAAGTATTGCTACAGTTAAGTGGTAATGTCTGACTTTAGTTATGATGTTAGCTAATGGTGAGTCAGGCTTTGACACTAAACCTTTTCCGGCGAAGTCGTCACAAACGAGCAGAGTATTTGAAGGATATTTTTTGAAGGGGTATTTTGAAAGTTTTGATAGAATGTAGTTTGTCAGTCGTTTCATATCGTAAACTCCTGAGTACTGACGTAAGTGGTGTTTGTCAATAATTCTTTCCATCTCTTCTGAAGTCTTTTGCATTCCTGACTGTATGAACTCTACGATGGCATAATATTTTCTCTTACGTCGAATATAACGTTGAAGAAATTCAATGAGTTCACTGTCTGGAACTTTAACGACAGATGCTTGAACTTTACTCATGAATGTTTTCGCTGTTGAGTCCATAGAGTCTGAAGTTGCTGATATAATGATTTGGTCATAATATGAGTCATTTCCTAAACGTTCTGTTATAAGAATATGACGAATGAGGTTAAATGTCTTTCCTGACCCCATCTTTCCACAATAGAAATACACACCATTTGAACAGAACTCATAGTCCTTACTGAAAGGAAGAATGAGAGAAGAGTTAAGTTTATCTGTGGTTTCATTCATGTCTTCATCTACGTCATGTATTAAATGCTTCATTTTATCTCCATTAAAAATGCAAGTCAGAAATATTCAGAACATAGCACCGAGTCTAACTGACAAGAGTATAAAGATATACTATGAACACGTTATGATGAAACCAACCAAAATTCAAGAAAGTCAGTATACTTATGAATATCCAAGACACTGGGTAGAGTATGTAGGAGGTGAGAAAGCTATTGAAATCAGACAGGTTCGAAGTATTCCAGCAGGAAGAACAATATTATTGAAGAACTTTAATGTTTTGAGATATAATGATGAAACAAAGAAGCAAGATAGTTTTCCTGTTGCTGTGTATGTGAACCTAGACACAGGAGATGACATGAAAGTTTTTAACACAAAGCTTCAAACGGTAGTGAGAGAACAACTTACTGCGGAAGGACATCCATTACCTTCAGAAGTTACCATAGCATATAATTTTGAAACAAACTCAATAGATTTTAAAGTCGTCTCTGCAAAGAAGTCAGGTTTTACATTTAATGAAGCAGATGTATATTCGAATGAAAACTTCAAAGCTATTGCATGGTTAGATAATGACGATTGCTTTAAGAAAATCTTTAAATTCAGTGACTCAACGATGTCAATAGATGACCTTCGTGGAATGTTACCATCGACGTTTACAGTTGAAGGTTCAGCAGGATTGCTTACAAGATTGTCAATTGGTGGCATTTGGTCTCGTGAGAACATTGTTATAAAATCCAGTATAAGTGAATTTGCTGAAGAATCTATATTATGTCTTTCAAACTATATGTATTCGCCGCCAAAGCATTATAGTATAACAAACTTTGTCAGTAAGTTTAACATAAGACTTGTCGAACCTTCTTCAATGAAAGATGTTGTGCTACCTAAAGATGGAAAGGATGGACTCATTATTGAGATGATTTTAATAGCATATTAAATGAGCTTGTTCTTGAAGGTCATTCATAATGAAATAACTGTTGTAGAAGATGTTAGCAATTGTTCAGACATTTTGAAGCGTATAGATGATATAAGAAATAAGTTAGATAGACCGCAAAGCGGTGAGGACGAAGCCCGTGAGAACGCTTATGTTTCATTGACTTTCTCCAGTAACGAGAACTTTTATGAGATAATATTGAAGAGAGATGATTTTAATATGGGGTAAATGGTAGCTTGGGCAGCTTTAGGCGCAATGGGAACAAAAGCATTAGCATTTGGAGCAAAAGCACTTGGAGCTTATGACGCAGTAAATAAAATGAGTGGAGGAAGGGTTTCAAAGACATTAGATGCAAA